GAGGACGACTGTGACGTTGAAATCGGAACGGAAGAGCTTTCTGGGGGCACTCCGAAAACCCCCAGGAAGCCATTTCATCGAATTCGTGATACCGCACGAGAATTACTCACATGAACAGGGTTGAGGATCTTGTAAATGGCAAAGGATGTATGCATAGTACAAGTGGTAATAGATGGAGTTATTGAGACTGTCGTCATTCATGGCACATGAATATGAGCATTCTCCAACGCAGCCCCAAGTATTACATAAATAAGTAGGTAGCAATTATGAGCGCTCAACTAACGAGAACAGCACGAAATGAAAAGCGATCGAGATAAAGGATGAAAGGCAGACCAGTCTGACTCAGTTCAAACCCCCATATGCGTGTCACAGGATTTCCAAGACTTTCGCCCGAATGTTCTTGGGGGTGATGTTAGTTCCAGGCCCCGGGACGACAATTTCGCTCCCGGTAGCAACCCTCTTGTACGTTCTATTCGACTGTTGTACGAGAAGCAACGCGTTGAATGGCTGTCCGAGGCGGGCAATCATCGCTAGTGCGCGGGTGTAGCTGTCCACCGGGGGCATGGGCACAGTGGGTAATGACGCAACTTCATCCGCGTCAGAGTTAGTATCAGACTCCGAGCCATCTCCCCAAGTAACCCCATTACTCGGACCTCGGATATGATGAATCCATGGATTCACGAAGACGAATTTCTTTGCTTCGTGTAGTGGAAGATCATCTGCGGTCGTGAACTCTACATTTTCAAGTCCCGATACCCTGGCACGATAAAGCTTCTCATTGCCATTACATGGGTTCTCGAGACTTTTCACAGAGAAGACGACGCATGGAAGGTGTAGACGTCGGGTTGCAAAGCGGGCGGGGGAAAGACGATTGATGTTATTGTATATAATCCGCGCGTGGTGCCGGGTCAGCCTGCCACGTAATTCGTTGATGCACTTTTCCATTTCTTCCCCTTCGAGAGGCGGAGGGTTGTAAGCAATTTGGCTATAAACGGAAATGGAAGCTGGGAGACAACTGTTGTATGACGATGACTTCCCTGACCATGCAAGCACCGTTACCTCGCCAGTTCGAGCCACAATCTCCTCCAGGAGGTGTCCAATAGCGTCGGCTCCTTCACCGTAGTGAGGCCTGATATCAGACTTGAATATGCCGATGAGAGAATATGCAGCATCCTCCTCGACCGTCGCATTGCGGGTCGAAGCCAGACGAAGTTTCTCGTGCACCCCAAGATCGTCTGGAGAGAATGTGATGATGGTTCCGCGGGGAATCTTGATAGCATCTGCTAGCTCCTGCATGATCTCTGGAGATTCCTTGTGGTTCGGGACAATATTACCGAGGTATGGTTTCCATTCGCAGTCATAGAAAAAGATGACCTTCGGTGAGAGAAGTTCTTGTAAAGTCCATGCGCGGGTCATCCATAAACTACCGGTAAGGTCCCCGGGCTTAGACGGGTGGGCCACACCAGCGAGGAATACGAGTGTGGCTGCCGAACTCGCATACCATTTGTACATGGATGTAAGAGATTGATTAAGGACGGAACTTGTGGACTTGTCGATACAACAGGTATCTGACCATGCCCAATTGTAACCAAGTCTGCGTGTCTCCTCGCAGAATTTGCGCAATTTCTTATTCAAGGGCTCGTCCGAAAGGTTCCATACGGATTTGACTACGTTGACATCCTCGAATGACGGCTCGTTCCCTTGCCATGCGTGCGAAAACATTACGTATCCAAAAAAACCTGTAATAACTCGTCGGATCCGTTCGTTGTCTATGTCTGTCGTCATGGATGAAACAAGCTCTTTGAATGATGGATCAGCCTTGAAGATACGGATCCGCTCAGGAACGTCGCAAAGGCAACCAGAGGCGACATGGATGACGACAAGGGGACAATTTTTGAGGGTCTCGCGAACAATACAATCGATAACCGCGATCGCCTCAGATGGAGAAACATAGTTTTTGCGCAGTTCTGTAAAACCGTCATTTGTAAATATGAGGTTCATACAGGAGGTGCATACGCTTGATTGAAAAGTCATGAGATTGTTCAATTACCTGCAGCATAGACTTGAAAGCATCAATCGCGTCGTCATACCGTTTTGCTCCATGAAGAACCAGGTACTTCGTTTCGTGGCCCCAAGGGTTGAAGGAGTCTACTTTCACTGCCTATGCGGAAACTGTAGGGGACCAGCTTATAGACGAACGCTATGCGTACCATATTGGCATCCTGTAGTGCATCCTCCCACAATCCTTTTGCCGCTCGAGCTCTGCTCCGCTTGATAAACAGACCTGCGGGACTTGTAGGACTGGGAGATGATGCAGCAAATCCAAAAGCTTCATCGCCAACTTGCTCAAGTGTCGTGGCACACCTTTTGGTGAAATCTGACGGCGGTCACTAACATGCAGTCAACCAGACTGGCGGCTAAAATACGGACCTGCGATCCAGTCAGCAGTTGGCTCGCTCCTGAGGGTCTCCTCGTCTGATGTCCTGATGATGTTGAACAGAATATCCATGGCTTCGGTGGTACGTTGTTCAGTAAAGAAGGTTTCACACAGATGCTGCTGAGCAATGATATCCAATCCATTGAAATTCCACCCAAATATCTTCATAGGGGTTTAGATTAGTAGCTAGCGACGGTAGAGTACTTACGAGCGAGATCGTCACCAGCGGCGGGCATTGTTTGTCCTTGGGGGCTAAGCGTTTCGCATGCTCGATCAATGGTATTGTACGCTTGTAATCTCCTGCCTTCATGCACATAACTCCAAGGACCTGCGGAGTGTGTCAGCAGGAACACTCACATGTCTGCACATGCAGACCACACGCCTGGGTGTAAAGGTAAGTGGCCTCATCATCGCTGTTATTGTTCGCTCTCGTAGCAAGGTCCTCCACACGCGTTATCGCCTCTTCTTGATTTCCGGATTCGAACACAAGTATCGACTGAGCGGAACATAGATAAATCCTGGGAAAAATCTAGACCATCTCACACACCTTCAGTAATAAGAGAAATCTGTTATCGCGCGGCTCACAATCGTGAAAGGCGGGATCGAATGTGCGCAGCGCTCCCCCTCGATCACCCTGGCCAGGTAGAGCAACTGCCATCGCAATATGGCCGATAGGCGATGACTGAACACGGAGGGACTTGAAATGCACGCGTGAGCGAACATGTGCATGGGGAAGCAAGAAAGCAGGCTGACCTCCTTGGCGTCCTCTATGGCAAGTGCCGGATGATTCAAACGCACTCGTATGAGAGCGCGGTTTGCTAGGACGTGGTGGCTGGGACTTGAAGCACTTGCGATCTCCTCTGACAGCGGCGCCTCGATGTTGGTCAGGTTAACCTGTGTCCATGATTTGAGGGTCTCGTCACTCATTTGTACGAGTGGAAGCTGAGAAGCGTGGAGTTCCTTTAGTAATCCATTAAAGCATTACGCAACGTATTGATTGTTAGTGATGCGACGTTCATAGGTAGATGTAAACTTACAGCAGGGTCGAAAGCAAGGACATCCCCGAGATTGTGGATTGTGATATTCCAGCCATTTCCACATGCGAGATACCGCCCACTTGGTGAGAAAGCGATGCATTTGACCTCTGCGGTGTGTGTGATAATGGCACTGATCTGCTTGCGGGACACACAATCCCATAGTGAAACCGATGAACCTGCAGTACATGCAATGAATCTGTCGTTAAATGCTATAGATATCCTGTGTTGGTTGTCATGGATCGACCACTCTGAAGCCAGCGACTTGGAAAGGTCCAAACAGGTGATTTTTCCTTTGTTCGCGACGAACAGCTGCTGGCCATCAGACGACCAAGCCAACGGAGCGACCGGACTTGAACTGACTGAACCGTTTTGACCTGATTCGAACAAGACATCACCATTGTGAGTGCTGTAGACACGGAAACCTTCATTATGCGAGACAGTAGCAAATCGATTACCGTCCGGGGAGAACCTGACACCATTAACCAGAATGTGCCGGAGGGGAGGAAGGAGTCGGATACCGGAAGAGAAACTGAATATCTGGGCGTTTTGGTGGTCCGCAGTGGCAATTTTGGTGCTGTCGCTAGAGATGTCGACCCCGAATACAGAGCTACTGTGTTCTGTGAGCTCGCGCACCTTTTCATGGGTGGCTGCGTTCCAGATGGTTGCGTTCCCCGCGCGGTCTCCAGTCACAATCCACCGGCCATCCTGAGCAACGACAACAGAATAGATACTCCCATTCCCGAACATGGGTGGACCCTCTTGTTGTCCGTCTTCAATCTTCCATCGACGAATACCACTTCCATAATACCCTCCTATGACATGGCTTTCACCCGCAAAAGTGACCGCGTATGTATCACTGTAAGATACCATTTCGATCCGTCTCGCATCTTAAGTAACCACCCCAGCAAACTGTCAGTAGGGCTGCCTCAGCCTCTCTAACTGCTGGTACGCACTCATCGCCGTCGCTGGCAAGCCTGCCAAAACAGCTTCACACTGGCGTTTAGAGGGGAAAAGAAGGAAGCATCGTAGACATCGCTCCACTTAGCACCCGCAATACGTGCACTGCGGATCAGTTCACACGACAAAAGATTTTGGCAGTGGTAAGTCTTTGTAATGATACCTAGTGTCAGATTATGCCCTTCCACAACATCCAGTATTTTCGTCTGCCTTCAGTAAAGTCATCTATAGAGCAAGCGTTCCCAGAAGAAATATGTCGAAGGAAAGGCGTAACTAGTACCTTGAACCTGTGCGTGTTGCGACACGCAAATATTTGTGCCTTGATGGTCGTTTCCACAGCCTCATCGGCATCATTGCTGTTAAGTCGCTTGATCATCGAATCATCATCCGCGGGACTATGTAAACGATATAGGTACATATGGTGCCCTCCTAATATATCCCAAGGTAGAGCAGCACTGCTTACCTCTTTCTTGGCAAGGATGGCTTCCATGGGGAATGATATAATACCCTTGACTGATCGGCAGGTGCCACGTCTGCACCTCGATCACGGTTACCCTCGTCCTCCTTTCATGTCGAGCAGTAGCTTTAATGCAGAGTTGACTCTTGGCCCAGCTCTGGTTGGGACAACACTAGCGTCGTGCCTCTTCGGTTGCTCCGTCATACAGACATTCGGATACTATAGGCGATTCCCGTCGGACTCGACGATCATTAAGACTTTGGTAAGTGTTCGCTACTGTATGATGTTGGTTTCTTGAGACTACGTTTAGCAGGTAGGTACCATCATGTATGTCCACGTCTTTGCCCTCGCCTATGAGCAATAGTGGAATTGGTTTCAATTCCCCAACTAGGTTGCTGACTCTCGCGCACATCGTTTGTGTCATCTACTGGACATGGATAGTGACCGTCACTGCATTTGGAAAACCTAACGAAGTCACGATATTCACCCCTTCGAGAGGAGCCAATCTGGTTATCACACCTTTCATATGCTATCTTGTGCAGGTACGAAACCTGACGAACAATGTTCTTACACAGAACTCGGCTCATTCCACCAGCTCTTCTTCGCATTCCGTCTTTACAGATTCTCCGAGGTTGGCTGCTTTCCATGATATGTTTCGTCCTAGGTGGGATCAGTTTCGTCGGCACGCTCGTCGACGCAGCAAGAGCCCTCGATAGACAATCATTGGAGGGAACATGAATGCTCAGTACTGGCTAACAATTTTGACCTTGGTTAGTGGTGCAATGTGTGATCTGATCATCACAACGGGTCTTGTTTTCCATCTGAGGAAACAGCGCGCAAAGACAAAGATATCGAGGTAGGTACGGTAGTCAGAATGATCGCTGATTGTGATGACTGGTCGATTTAGGACTATCGATTTACTGGATAAGTTGACTGTATGGTCGATAGGTAGTTTCCTTTTTCTTAGGATCGCTGTTGTATCGCTCCTTACAAGCAGCCAGAAACTGGGCTTGTGACAAGGTAACCAAGCAACATGAGTTCTTGGAATTCAGACCGACCGTAGAGCACAGCATAAATGCTGTCCTTGTCACCATTTCGTGAGTCAGGGCTTGTTGCTGTATTAATCACAGCAGCACTGAAGTACTGATGATCCACTACAGTTTTCTTTGCAACGGACCACCTGTATGTGTAGTATACAAAACTGTGGCAAGCCGCTTCTCACCTCACACTCTGTTTGCTAGTTATATGGTCAGCGCTCTACATCGTTCTCGCAGATGGTAGGGTGTCGACTTCAGTAACTCACCTGTTGACTACGTCTTACCCGACTTTTCCTGACAGTCTACACTAATACCTTCCTTGCCGCGTGAGCTTAGGAGAGTCCTTCACCTCCGTCCACTTGCTTATAGAAATCTCTGCGCCTATCATCAGACTGAACAGCCGTACTCCTCACGTTGAACACGACATCACGCAAGGTGCAGTGCTCTCTACCTTCATTGGACAAGCAGCCATGTCAAACGTTCCATGCGACGTGAGTCGCTATTATCTGACTGACGTCATTCTCGTCGTTGACTTTGTTTCCCAGGCTGCATCCAGTATTCCTTCCACACCATCCCTGATTCAACACAAACCTTGTGACCTCTCACCCGCCTAGGGAGTGTAGACAAATACATTATTTATGCGGCAAGTTGGAACAAGCCTGAGCGGAAGTCCTCTACATAGTTGATATGGGTTCTTATTCATATAGATTGCTCCGTCCTCTCATTTATTCGTTTCCATTTGTCTTTATTTCTTCGTTTTCGACTACAAAGATGTGCAGTAGCCTACCCTCACATGTATGTAGGGCACAGCACAATCGCGCCTTCATCCAGCTGAGTGCGAGTGAATCACCAAACGAGGGCTGAGAGTAACAACAATAGCAGGTTAGTAGTCACGCATACTATTCTGATCTAATCAATCACGCCCAGATGATCTTCCTTAATCGTGCCTATAGCGAACTACCGAGCAGGTGAGCCAAAGCGAACGAAAAAAAAAAAGCCAGGTAACGTGCAATTTCCGCGGCGTCCACACGAGTACCGATGATCTTCAATCGCACGCGCGTATTTTTCTCGATGATATGGTCATCTGAAGCAAATGACAGAAGCTTAGAGATGAGGTTAAATTTCATGTTAGCAAATATGAGTATAAGCTGATGATTAGCGTGAGGGACAACTTTGCGTCGCGGGCTAGCGTACGCACCTGATGTGATACGAAAACTTGTAGGGGTCCTACGTCAGCGAAGAAGCCCATGCGTTATTCACAACGCCATCAACAACTTCTCCGTTGGACGGCTTGAAAACGCGTGACAAACTCAGCCTGTTCACTTCTGCCGATGTCTATTCCTCTGTCGGTGTCCAGGATCGAGACTGCAGCGATAATGTAGCCATATTGACCTGAGCATGTACCTTTGACGTCTGCGCACAGCTTGGACTCCAAGAATTGGAGTATGCAGGGTCCGAAGTACGAAGGGTGGAGCAGGATCGTGTGGGTGAGCTCTTTCTGTAAAATGAGGTACATAGTCGCACAATTAGAGAGACAGAAGTACTTGCAATGGAGAACATGGCGGGGACACAACACGTCCCCCGAGTGACATGGGCTCGTAAAATGAACGTGGAGATCTTACCCCTGGTGTAATTTGACTTAAGAAACTATGCTGTTTGGTTACGAGTTCGCGTAGCCACGCTGTTTCGACATCTGAGCACGAGGATACCTCACTGCCAATGCACGT